ATCAATGCATTTAAAAATAAAATGATCCATATTATACGTTGATTAGAGAATACAAATAAAGCGTTAATCTTTGGAAAGGAGTGTTTTGTTAAAATACGTAGTTCCTTACGCATCCTAAAGCTCAGATGGGAACTACATTTGCTGTCTTCCATACCTCAGGTAGTTGCCCAGTTTCCAGGGATGTGTTGAAGATTGTGGTAAGTGGTACGCACAACATATCTGCTCCCTCTCTAAGGACCCATGGAGAGATGTTGTCCGGTCCCATTGCCTTTTGTGTATGTGTGTGTGTGTGTGTGTGTGGTGCCAAATAGGTAAAGCTTTCTATATATAAAGTTACAGTAAAACATAAATAAATATATTCTATCTAACACTGTTACGATAACTGTCCTAACCAACTTACTAACAAATTTCGTGGCAAACGCTCTTGCTTCACACAGCAACGGCCTGGGTTCGATTCCAAGCCAGAGTAGAAACATTGGGCGTGTTTCTTTACAGCTGTTGTCTATGTTCCCCATCAGTAAAATGGGTACCTGGGTGTTAGTCGACTGGTGTGGGTCGCATCCTGGAACACTGACCTAATTTGCCCGAAAAGCTGAGTATGACAAGGGGCTTTCTATATAGTAGTATGTCATTGTTGTCAGCTAGGCCTGTATATCATGTGCATGTACTTGTAGTAAATATATTATTAAAATTATTATTATTATTATTATTATTATTATTATTATTATTATTGTATTTTTTTATATTTTATTTAAAAACGCAATACACAATTATACATGTAGACAATGTAAACAATGAAACGTAACCATTATATATAACAACAAAAAGCTCCACATTCCCTACCTTAGCACTAAACTTATACTTAAGAAAACACACGTTCAACTAAAAAGTTTGATACCCCCCCAAAAAAAAAACCCAACCATCACATATAGTAAACTAAAGACAGCCCACATCTTCAAATACAGGTGGGTTTATTACATCCAAAATTACAGCCATAAACACAATATGCAAAATAACCCAAAGAATGTCACAGGTATTTACATTTTACATAAAACTGTATGTACGAAGACATTCTCAATTATCCAAAAATTCTTTACACACTTATTATTGTTGTATATTAAACTTCATATACAAATACATAATATATAACACCTCAAAAAATTACGAAACAAATAAAGGTTAGAAAATAATCTCCACACCTCACCACAGAAAAAACTAAACACAGTATAATATAACAAATGATTCGTTCCACTCCCATACACTACATCATCCCACAAGCGAACAAACACTACATCATCCCACAAGCGAACAAACACTACATCATCCCACAAGCGAACAAACACTACATCATCCCACAAGCGAACAAACACTACATCATCCCACAAGCGAACAAACACTACATCATCCCACAAGCGAACAAACACTACATCATCCCACAAGCGAACAAACACTACATCATCCCACAAGCGAACAAACACTACATCATCCCACAAGCGAACAAACACTACATCATCCTACAAGCGAACTTACACAATCACGTATATTTAGTAATATTTTTCAAATATAATTTCCATTTTTAAGTAACAAACTTCTACCATATAATAAAATATACATAGTCATTACTATTAAACATTAGCTTAAACAAGTACTATATTCTTATTCTACAGACCGCAGCATTTCTTGCATCACCATCCTAACATTATTATTGTGTTATAAGAACTGTAAATGTCATCGAGTTGTTCATATGAAGCCTCAGTCTTGCTAGGCACAAGGATTGAGACATGATAAGGTCGAGCCTCTGAAGTGTTGAAATAAGGGCCAAAATCAAAAGATAAAAAAGTTATCTACGAAGTAACAATGATCTCTGGTTGCAGAGGAAGATGGTGTAGTTAAGGAATTACCAGGACAGACTTACCTATATATTCTGAGATGCGGTTTTCATAGTTTATTGAGGTTTAGTGATCTAAGATCACAATGCAAAGGATCAATGCATTTAAAAATAAAATGATCCATATTATACGTTGATTAGAGAATACAAATAAAGCGTTAATCTTTGGAAAGGAGTGTTTTGTTAAAATACGTAGTTCCTTACGCATCCTAAAGCTCAGATTTCATAAGGTGGCTTAATATGTAGCATTTATGGACTGTTTAGGTTACCAGAAGCCAAACTTTTCTGTTCAAAATGTTTTGAAAACACTGTAAAACGATTTACTTGGTTAAGATTTCTTTCGAATAATGTACTCATATTTGGTGGCCTCAGCATCGCACTTATAACTTCTGACCCCTAGGTCTGTAGCTGTAATGCCGGCTATGTAGCTTAACCAGTAATCACGGCCCTGTAGTTGTATCCAGTAATCCCGCCCCTGTAGTTGTATTCAGTAATCCCGGCCCTGTAGTTGTATCCAGTAATTCCGGGCCTGTAGCTGTATCCAGTAATCACGGCCCTGTAGCGTAACCAGTAATCGCGGTCCTGTAGCGTAAACAGTAATCCCGGCCCTGTAGTTGTATCCAGTAATCCCGCCCCTGTAGTTGTATTCAGTAATCCCGGCCCTGTAGTTGTATCCAGTAATTCCGGGCCTGTAGCTGTAACCAGCAATCCCGGCCCTGTAGCGTAACCAGTAATCCCGGTCCTATTGCTGAAACTGCTGACCAAAGTCCTGTACTTACAACTGCTGACCACAATTCCATACCTGTATAGCCCTGTTCTGTAAATATTGACTCGTACATTGTACCTGTAAATAATAACCCCAGTGTTTTAGCCGTGACTGATAACCTCAGTCCTGTAGCACTAATGATGAGCTTATCACTTTATCTTTGACTGATAACCTGGGAACTCATAAATGTAAATTATGTCCCCAGTCCTGTATTTATTGGAATTTCGTTTCCACCCGTTTAATAAATTCTCATTAACTTTATAGAATTAGAAGATGACTTGTTGCCATTTACAGAAGAGATATATTCATCCTTGCATCAGTACTTTTATGTATAACGATAGCCATTTTACTGTCTTTAAAGTACAGAAACAGTAAATACAGTACCAATATTACATTCCAGAGCGATAATGAACTTTTTGCATTAAACTTTCTCACCATTTCATAATTTAGTTTCATCACAAATTGGATAAATCGCATTGATTCCTTTGTGTGGCGTCAAGCGAAGACACGAGTATAAAATGATGTTGAGTCGCAGTTGACGAAGTAGTCTGCCTCAGACCTCCGCCCATCCCACACACACCATGGTAATGTTTCAGTGGTCTTCCTGCCACTACCTCTCTTATCAAGTTCCATAAACCTAATTTCGGAGTTAGTAATCCTCCACGATGCAAGCTACATTTAGCATATGCAATACAGATGGCTCACAAATGAAAGTACTTGGGCTCGATTGAAGGGTAGAAAGAGAGGTATGGGCAAGTCTATCGATGGTAAACAGGTACCTAGCTGAAAGTACATTGATAAGATAAAGACTATCCGTCCCTGATACGAAAATCCTGAATGAAAATAAGTGTCAGCTATATAAGTCAAATTATAGCTAACATTCAGAAACAAAGAAATGGAGGTTAACGTGTTATGTTTACTCCAATATGACACGACATATTTCCATGAACATAATTTTTATATTGCTGCCCTAGTGAGTGTCGGCAAATTTCGGACTTTTTCCACGATAATGAAATTAAGTGTATAGATTAAAAATGGCAGTTCCGAGACAGACAAATCCCATGCATAAAAGTTAGAATTAAGACAAAAAGGTTTCTACCCTTCCTAGACTATTATTTTGTCGCGAGAGTGTAGAACCACGATGAAAACTAGAAGATAGATTAGGACAGTAAAAGGCGAGATAGTAGAGGTGATAAAAACATATGAAAAGAGGTCACGTAATTTAGATTAGAGTATTCGACAGTATTAAGATATATTTACAGAAACATATCAGGAGCAAAGGTTCTGCTCGAGATTTTATTTAACATATGGGGTCCGTCAAGGCTGCACGAGGATTAACTTATATAATGGTTCCATAATCTCTAGGTTATAATCTCGCCTCAGTGACACTTATTAGAGTCATCGAAGCGAGCACTTTTGTTTTCTTTGAGTCTTTCGTAAATAAGCAGCCAGAGTTTGTCAGTATACTGTATATGTTTCAATCATCTCTTGTGTGTCCAAATATCTTTGTGCCCTCACAAAACAATATGAAAATCTATTCTACTATCTGTATAATCATTAGTAGATTTCCTAAATAACATCTTACACTATCAAGTTTTGCTACTTAATATGAAGTATGTCATGTTTGAGTAAATATGATAATACATTATTTTTAAATGGAAAGTTTATATAATTACTTATTCAGTCACACGAATTGGGAAAATATAAGATAAAATGTTTTACTGAGTAGAGTTACATTTAGGCTTGTATATTTTTGGGGAAGGCCTGAGAGAGAATCTTTAAAATATTGTTCTTTCTGTATTAGGAGTTATAAACATGTAGTCGTTAATTTTTAAATTAGGTGCTAAATTTAAAGACCTATCTCTAGGAGTCTGATAGCAGCAATCTATTTCGTTAACTCTTCAATATTCTATATTGTCGTTATTGTCCTGGGGGGGAAGTCAATGTTATGTGAAAAGTCCAGAGCCAGAACCATCAAGCAACCCTGGTAAACAGACTTGATTTTAATACTGATGGGTATTATAAAATCCTTAAGTTCAAACCTTCTTTGTTTTGGAGTAGATGACACATATTTCAAGTTAGTACATAATGATATAGTTGATTTCATAAGTTTTGTTCTATTGTTTGGGTAGATGCTAGTGCAAACTAGTGTTCCGGTTTTGTTTACCGATGTCGCTCGTTCAGCCGCTTCTCAGCCAAAACAGTCATTGGCGTATATTGTTAAAGGTGGTTGTGTCTGCTTAACTAGCATGATATATAATGATAGGCTAATGGAATTGAATTTAAATACACTGAAGGATAGAAAAACCAGGAGAGAAATTGATAGGGTAGACAGGAACACGCTATATGAGAGATGAGAAAGGAGAACTAGGGGACATAGCTAGAAGCTCAAGACAAATGTGCCACAGGAATGTCAGGAAGTATATCTACAGTCTCGAGGTGGTCAGGAAGTGGAATGATCTCGGTGAAGAAGTGGTGGAGAGAGGCTCCATACATAGCTTAACATGCGTGCCACTATGATAGTCACTGAAACGGGCCACAGTAGAGCAATTACTGGTGTAATGTCTAGTGGGCGTTCTCGGTGACTGTGATTCTAACTTTTGTTTTAGTGTAAGAGTTATTTACGCTTTTTTTGTATTTATTCACGATTTGTGTTTCAGAAGTTGCTGGTTTCTTTCCTGGGCGTGGCTCTACTGGCCTCCGTGATCCAGGCTGGTAGACACGGAGGTGGTGGAGGCTACGGGGGAGGTGGACACGGTGGAGGTGGTGGCTACGGAGGCGGTGGACATGGAGGAGGTGGCTATGGAGGAGGTGGCTACGGAGGAGGTGGCTACGGAGGAGGTGGCTACGGAGGAGGAGGAGGAGGAGGCTACGGAGGTGGTGGACACGGAGGAGGTGGCTACGGAGGAGGAGGCTACGGAGGTAGTGGACACGGTGGAGGAGGTTACGGAGGAGGACACGGAGGAGGTGGCCATGGTGGAAAGGGTTACGGAGGAGGGGGCTATGGAGGAGGAGGCTACGGTGGAGGAGGCTACGGTGGAGGAGGCTACGGTGGAGGCGGACATGGTGGTGGCTACGGAGGTGTCGGTGGAACATCAAACAACAACTTCAACCTAGCAGGACCCAAAGGAGGTGGAGGATACGGTCACGGCGGTGGAGGCGGTGGCGGGTACGGTGGTGGCGGGTACGGTGGTGGCGGGTACGGTGGTGGCGGGTACGGTGGTGGCGGCTACGGTGGTGGCGGCTACGGTGGTGGCGGCTACGGTGGTGGCGGCCACGGTGGTGGCGGCCACGGTGGTGGCGGCCACGGTGGTGGCGGCCACGGTGGTGGCGGCCACGGTGGTGGTGGGGGACATGGTGGCTACGGAAAATAATCTACAAATATTGATGAATACTCTTAAAACTGAACGGATTTATTGCCTTCATCTTTCTGTCAAAATTCTCAACACATAAAGAAAGAAAATAAGCTTCCATAGATTTGTAATTAAAAGACAAAAAAAAAAATATTCTATGCCTTTTTTTTGCAGTCATATCCAAAAAAGTTACAAAAATATTTAGGAGTATTCTTGATAAAAATAATAATATTCAAAATAGCAAATAAGTCAATAGTTTTGAATAACAAAATTGTTTTGACGAGAAAGGTACAACTTTTATCCATAAACAATATCGAAATAAAATAGCATTTAGGTATTTATTAATCAAATTACTAATTTTATGTATATTATGAGGGTATATTTCACAAAATATTGAAAAAATAGCATGGAAAATGGAGCACTGTTTGTGTCCAAGAGAACATGTAGGTCTGGGTCCAAGAGAACATGTAGGTCTGGGTCCTAGAGAACATGTAGGTCTGGGTCCAAGAGAACATGTAGGTCTGGGTCCAAGAGAACATGTAGGTCTGGGTCCAAGAGAACATGTAGGTCTGGGTCCTAGAGAACATGTAGGTCTGGGTCCAAGAGAACATGTAGGTCTGGGTCCAAGAGAACATGTAGGTCTGGGTCCAAGAGAACATGTAGGTCTGGGTCCTAGAGAACATGTAGGTCTGGGTCCAAGAGAACATGTAGGTCTGGGTCCAAGAGAACATCTAGGTCTGGGTCCAAGATAACATGTAGGTCTGGGTACATGAGAACATGTAGGTCTGGGTCCAAGAGAACATGTAGGTCTGGGTCCAAGAGAACATGTAGGTCTGGGTCCAAGAGAACATGTAGGTCTGGGTCCAAGAGAACATGTAGGTCTGGGTCCAAGAGAACATGTAGGTCTGGGTCCAAGAGAACATGTAGGTCTGGGTCCATGAGAACATGTAGGTCTGGGTCCAAGAGAACATGTAGGTCTGGGTCCAAGAGAACATGTAGGTCTGGGTCCAAAAGAACATGTAGGTCTGGGTCCAAGAGAACATGTAGGTCTGGGTCCAAGAGAACATGTAGGTCTGGGTCCTAGAGAACATGTAGGTCTGGGTCCAAGAGAACATGTAGGTCTGGGTCCAAGAGAACATGTAGGTCTGAGTCCAAGAGAACATGTAGGTCTGGGTCCAAGAGAACATGTAGGTCTGGGTCCTAGAGAACATGTAGGTCTGGGTCCAAGAGAACATGTAGGTCTGGGTCCAAGAGAACATGTAGGTCTGGGTCCAAGAGAACATGTAGGTCTGGGTCCAAGAGAACATGTAGGTCTGGGACCAAGAGAACATGTAGGTCTGGGTCCAAGAGAACATGTAGGTCTGGGTCCAAGAGAACATGTAGGTCTGGGTCCTAGAGAACATGTAGGTCTGGGTCCAAGAGAACATGTAGGTCTGGGTCCAAGAGAACATGTAGGTCTGGGTCCAAGAGAACATGAAGGTCTGGGTCCAAGAGAACATGTAGGTCTGGGTCCAAGAGAACATGTAGGTCTGGGTCCAAGAAAACATGTAGGTCTGGGTCCAAGAGAGCATGTAGGTCTGGGTCCTAGAGAACATGTAGGTCTGGGTCCAAGAGAACATGTAGGTCTGGGTCCAAGAGAACATGTAGGTCTGGGTCCAAGAGAGGATGTAGGCCAGGGTCCAAGAGAACATGTAGGTCTGGGTCCAAGAGAACATGTAGGTCTGGGTCCAAGAGAACATGTAGGTCTGGGTCCAAGAGAACATGTAGGTCTGGGTCCTAGAGAACATGTAGGTCTGGGTCCAAGAGAACATGTAGGTCTGGGTCCAAGAGAACATGTAGGTCTGGGTCAAAGAGAACATGTAGGTCTGGGTCAAAGAGAACATGTAGGTCTGGGTCCAAGAGAACATGTAGGTCTGGGTCCAAGAGAACATGTAGGTCTGGGTCCAAGAGAACATGTAGGTCTGGGTCCAAGAGAACATGTAGGTCTGGGTCCAAGAGAACATGTAAGTCTGGGTCCAAGAGAACATGTAGGCCTGGGTCCAAGAGAACATGTAAGTCTGGGTCCAAGAGAACATGTAGGTCTGGGTCCAAGAGAACATGTAGGCCTGGGTCCTAGAGAACATGTAGGTCTGGGTCCTAGAGAACATGTAGGTCTGGGTCCTAGAGAACATGTAGGTCTGGGTCCTAGAGAACATGTAGGTCTGGGTCCTAGAGAACATGTAGGTCTGGGTCCTAGAGAACATGTAGGTCTGGGTCCTAGAGAACATGTAGGTCTGGGTCCTAGAGAACATGTAGGTCTGGGTCCTAGAGAACATGTAGGTCTGGGTCCTAGAGAACATGTAGGTCTGGGTCCTAGAGAACATGTAGGTCTGGGTCCAAGAGAACATGTAGGTCTGGGTCCTAGAGAACATGTAGGTCTGGGTCCTAGAGAACATGTAGGTCTGGGTCCTAGAGAACATGTAAGTCTGGGTCCAAGAGAACATGTAGGTCTGGGTCCTAGAGAACATGTAGGTCTGGGTCCAAGAGAACATGTAGGTCTGGGTCCTAGAGAACATGTAGGTCTGGGTCCAAGAGAACATGTAGGTCTGGGTCCTAGAGAACATGTAGGTCTGGGTCCAAGAGAACATGTAAGTCTGGGTCCAAGAGAACATGTAGGCCTGGGTCCAAGAGAACATGTAAGTCTGGGTCCAAGAGAACATGTAGGTCTGGGTCCAAGAGAACATGTAGGCCTGGGTCCAAGAGAACATGTAAGTCTGGGTCCAAGAGAACATGTAGGTCTGGGTCCAAGAGAACATGTAGGTCTGGGTCCAAGAGAACATGTAAGTCTGGGTCCAAGAGAACATGTAGGCCTGGGTCCAAGAGAACATGTAGGTCTGGGTCCAAGAGAACATGTAGGTCTGGGTCCAAGAGAACATGTAAGTCTGGGTCCAAGAGAACATGTAGGCCTGGGTCCAAGAGAACATGTAAGTCTGGGTCCAAGAGAACATGTAGGTCTGGGTCCAAGAGAACATGTAAGTCTGGGTCCAAGAGAACATGTAGGCCTGGGTCCAAGAGAACATGTAGGTCTGGGTCCAAGAGAACATGTAGGTCTGGGTCCAAGAGAGGATGTAGGCCAGGGTCCAAGAGAACATGTAAGTCTGGGTCCAAGAGAACATGTAGGCCAGGGTCCAAGAGAACATGTAGGTCTGGGTCCAAGAGAACATGTAGGTCTGGGTCCAAGAGAGGATGTAGGCCAGGGTCCAAGAGAACATGTAGGTCTGGGTCCAAGAGAGGATGTAGGCCAGGGTCCAAGAGAACATGTAGGCCTGGGTCCAAGAGAACATGTAGGTCTGGGTCCAAGAGAACATGTAGGTCTGGGTCCAAGAGAACATGTAGGTCTGGGTCCAAGAGAGGATGTAGGCCAGGGTCCAAGAGAACATGTAGGTCTGGGTCCAAGAGAACATGTAGGTCTGGGTCCAAGAGAACATGTAGGTCTGGGTACAAGAGAGCATGTAGGCCAGGGTCCAAGAGGACATGTAGGCCAGGGTCAAAGAGAGCATGTAGACCAGGGTCCAAGAGGACATGTAGGTTAGGGTCCAAGAGAGCATGTAGGCCTGGGTCCAAGAGGACATGTAGGCCAGGGTCCAAGAGAACATGTAGGCCTGGGTCAAAGAGAGCATGTAGGCCTGGGTCCAAGAGAGCATGTAGGCCTGGGTCAAAGAGAGCATGTAGGTCAGGGTCTAAGAGAGCATGTAGGCCTGGGTCCAAGAGAGCATGTAGGTCAGGGTCCAAGAGAACATGTAGGCCTGGGTCAAAGAGAGCATGTAGGTCAGGGTCTAAGAGAGCATGTAGGCCTGGGTCAAAGAGCATGTAGGTCAGGGTCTAAGAGAGCATGTAGGCCTGGGTCCAAGAGGACATGTAGGCCAGGGTCCAAGAGAGCATGTAGGCCTGGGTCAAAGAGAGCATGTAGGCCTGGGTCAAAGAGAGCATGTAGGCCTGGATCCAAGAGAGCATGTAGGCCAGGGTCCAAGAGAACATGTAGGCCTGGGTCCAAGAGGACATGTAGGCCTGGGTCCAAAAGGACATGTAGGCCAGGATGAATTACAACAATTGGATATGCTGAATGATGAAGACAGTAAAACAAGTGGAATTAAATAACGTTTATAAAATTTCTTACAATGTCCAGAATATCTTGCTGCTAAGTTTGTCAAGGCTGGGAACCAAGGCAATCATAGTACTAGGGGAAGTGAGCATAACTTTGTAATACCCACAGTCAGTAGCCAGGCTTCAAACACATTTTATTGTACAGCAATAAAAGAGTAGAACAAATTGCCTGCACATGTCAAAGCCAGTCATAACATGAACCAGTTCAAGAAGAGAGCCAGAAAGTACCTAATGGATGTAGCGACAGAAAGGGAGGAGAGTGATTTCTGGGATAACTAACATACACGTACCGATTTCTGTGATTTATCCTCACTTTGATGTAAATGTAAATAACTCAGTTTACCTTATTCCTAATATATTTCTTTGTAATGTTTAAATAATAAGGGATTACAAGGATCCCAACGGAAATAAGTCACTTTGTCTGACTTTTTTGGGTTATCTTAGGTAATCTACACACATGCTGCTATGTATGAAAGTTTATGTAACTGTATTTATGTATACCTGTACCTGAATAAACATTACACACAAACACACACATTATATATATATATATATATATATATATATATATATATATATATATATATATATATATATATATATATATATTGTAACCATGAACGAGTATTGATCACTAAGAACACTGCACTAGTAAGGACTCGAACCCATGTTGTGCTGGCCTGCCTCATGGGGAGCTAGAATCACATGACGCCTTAACCCACAGGACCACCGAATCCTACAAACATGGCGCAGCTAGCAGAGCTAGCTGTTTTACCGCCATCCGAGGACCTTCAGTGTCGTGGGAGCTTCTGGGCTAATTTTCATTCTCATCCCTATTTGGTTTACTAGTCCACGAGCAGCACATATATATTATTGTAACCACTGCACTAGCTAAGGTTTCACTCGTTCGTGGTTTACGAACGAGTGAAATATATTTTAAATGAAATATATTTTAATGAATATATTTGAAATGAATATATATATTTAATTGAAATATATTTTAAATGAATATATTTTAAATGAATATATTTTAAATGAAATATATTTTAAATGAAATATATTTTAATGAATATATTTTAAATGAAACTTTTACACACGAAAAGAATACTAAAGCACAAATAAAAGCCAGAAGCAGCAATAAATTGAGAAATGTACATCTTTCCCTGGAAGAAATCAGTGTAAAACGCGTGACTGCAAATATGTCAAAAATACCACAGAGAAAATAGGAAATAAAACCTGAGCGCTTTCACGTGTTTGCACACACATCCCTTCCTCTGAAGATGTATGTGTAAGCACACGAAAGCGCTCGGGTTACATTTCCCATTTTCACTTTGGTAGTTTTTCATATCTGTCCATATGCATTAAGGGCATATTAATTTTTGACTATTTTTCAGTAAAATTTGCTGAAATTTCTGTTAATGATTTATATCTTTAATTTAGTTTTTATGAAAAGAATCGATAAACTGTGAAAGAAAGAACCTTCACAATTTTGAAGTTTCTCTGAAGTAACTTTCACGGATAGAGATATCTCAATTTTCATTTCCTTATCATAACCATAATGCTGACTGTATACAAAGCAATTATAGTACTTAATCGAAAGATTCTCGATTTCACATTATTATTATAATCAAAAAGAAGCGCTAAGCCACAAGGGCTATACAGCATCTCGATTTAACAGTGATTGCCTAACCCAGTTCCATCTCACCTGACCTGTGGAAGATTGATACTTTTTCCTGCTTCTGAATTCAGTCATGTGACTGGTTAGGTGACCTGCCCTCATTTTTTTTTTGTCAGAGTCCAGCACAGTCCAGTTGTGGCTTATTGGCCCATAGCTTGGTTGGTAGGACTCACCTCACACACTGAGGTCCATGGTTCAATCCCCGGTGAGGATGCAAACATTTGGGAGTGTTTCCTTAAGATCACTTGCTGTCCCTGTTCACCTAGCAGTAAATAGGTACCTGGGTGTTAGTCAACTGGTGTGGGTCGCATCCTGGGCACAAAATTAACCTAAATTCCCCGAAATTCTCCTCTTATTCAGAGGCTTTGTATATGTCACTGATGTCAGGTAGATCTGTGTAAGTTGTATCATGTACTTGTAGAAATAAAGATTATTTTCATTTAGCTCTCTCTCTTTTTCGTATTTTCATTTAGCTCTCTCTCTCTTTCGTATTTTCATTTAGCTCTCTCTCTCTCTCTTTCGTATTTTCATTTAGCTCTCTCTCTCTTTCGTATTTTCATTTAGCTCTCTCTCTCTCTTTCGTATTTTCATTTAGCTCTCTCTCTCTTTCATATTTTCATTTAGCTCTCTCTCTCTCTTTCGTATTTTCATTTAGCTCTCTCTCTCTTTCGTATTTTCATTTAGCTCTCTCTCTTTTTTTTTTTTTTTTTTTTTTTTTTTTTTTTTTTTTTTACACAGGGTTTGACAAGGTTAAGGATCCCTAGCTTTATTGACAGCTATTTACAGGTTAAGGATTCCTAACTTTATTGGCAAGCTAAGAGCTGTTACCTACATCAGCTCATTTGAAAGCATTTTTGTTATGAGACATACAAGTAGGGAACAGGATGAAGTTGGAGCCATCTGTGGGCCAGCATTTTCATTTGATCAACTGACGTTATCTCGTTGACATCATTATGCTGTACGAATGTGTTCCATACTCGAGTCATCTTTTTCGTATGTTCATTTAGCTCTCTCTCTTTTTCGTATTTTCATTTAGCTCTCTCTTTTTCGTATTTTCATTTAGCTCTCTTTTTCGTATTTTCATTTAGCTCTCTCTTTTTCGTATTTTCATTTAGCTCTCTCTTTTTCGTATTTTCATTTAGCTCTCTCTTTTTCGTATTTTCATTTAGCTCTCTCTCTTTTTCGTATTTTCATTTAGCTCTCTCTCTTTTTCGTATTTTCATTTAGCTCTCTCTTTTTCGTATTTTCATTTAGCTCTCTCTCTTTTTCGTATTTTCATTTAGCTCTCTCTCTCTTTCGTATTTTCATTTAGCTCTCTCTCTCTTTCGTATTTTCATTCAGCTCTCTCTCTCTTTCGTATTTTCATTTAGCACTCTCTCTTTTTCGTATTTTCATTCAGCTCTCTCTCTTTTTCGTATTTTCATTCAGCTCTCTCTCTCTTTCGTATTTTCATTTAGCTCTCTCTTTTTCGTATTTTCATTTAGCTCTCTCTCTTTTTCGTATTTTCATTTAGCTCTCTCTCTTTTTCGTATTTTCATTTAGCTCTCTCTCTTTTTCGTATTTTCATTTAGCTATCTCTCTTTTTCGTATTTTCATTTAGCTCTCTCTCTTTTTCGTATTTTCATTCAGCTCTCTCTCTCTTTCGTATTTTCATTTAGCTCTCTCTCTTTTTCGTATTTTCATTTAGCTCTCTCTCTTTTTCGTATTTTCATTTAGCTCTCTCTCTTTTTCGTATTTTCATTCAGCTCTCTCTCTCTTTCGTATTTTCATTTAGCTCTCTCTATTTTTCGTATTTTCATTTAGCTCTCTCTTTTTCGTATTTTCATTTAGCTCTCTCTCTTTTTCGTATTTTCATTTAGCTCTCTCTCTCTTTCGTATTTTCATTTAGTTCTCTCTCTTTTTCGTATTTTCATTTAGCTCTCTCTCTTTTTCGTATTTTCATTTAGCTCTCTCTTTTTCGTATTTTCATTTAGCTCTCTCTCTTTTTCGTATTTTCATTTAGCTCTCTCTCTCTTTCGTATTTTCATTTAGCTCTCTCTCTCTTTCGTATTTTCATTTAGTTCTCTCTCTTTTTCGTATTTTCATTTAGCTCTCTCTCTTTTTCGTATTTTCATTTAGCTCTCTCTTTTTCGTATTTTCATTTAGCTCTCTCTTTTTCGTATTTTCATTTAGCTCTCTCTCTTTTTCGTATTTTCATTTAGCTCTCTCTCTCTTTCGTATTTTCATTTAGCTCTCTCTCTTTTTCGTATTTTCATTTAGCTCTCTCTCTCTTTCGTATTTTCATTTAGCTCTCTCTCTTTCGTATTTTCATTTAGCACTCTCTCTTTTTCGTATTTTCATTCAGCTCTCTCTCTCTTTCGTATTTTCATTCAGCTCTCTCTCTCTTTCGTATTTTCATTTAGCTCTCTCTTTTTCGTATTTTCATTTAGCTCTCTCTCTTTTTCGTATTTTCATTTAGCTCTCTCTCTTTTTCGTATTTTCATTTAGCTCTCTCTCTTTTTCGTATTTTCATTCAGCTCTCTCTCTCTTTCGTATTTTCATTTAGCTCTCTCTCTCTTTTTCGTATTTTCATTTAGCTCTCTCTCTTTTTCGTATTTTCATTTAGCTCTCTCTCTTTTTCGTATTTTCATTCAGCTCTCTCTCTCTTTCGTATTTTCATTTAGCTCTCTCTCTTTTTCGTATTTTCATTTAGCTCTCTCTCTTTCGTATTTTCATTTAGCTCTCTCTCTTTTTCGTATTAATGCATACTTAAAACTGTACTAGTGTTCACTTCTCACTTTTTATACAATAAAAAAACCCTACTCAACAACCTATGTCTAGTTCTTCAGCAATCTGTCAGCCTTAGGCTTACACTGCTCAAAATGCACCACATGTTAGTGGGTTTATGTGCCTAACAATATATTATTACATATAAACTATATTTTCTACAATACAGAAAGTATTAAAGTTTGTTGCAGAAAAGCTACACTTCAACTCTAAAATTCCGTGAAGATCCACAAGAGAAGAATGTTATCCATACCACAACAAGGAATAACTATTATTGTTAAACACAAATTACCTTTCCTTCGATGCAATAAACTGAGATATACACATCAACGCATTAATCAGGTACAGAGTCAATATTATTGAGGAAAGTGAGAGTGAATGCATTCTAACTCTTTCACGCTCGTTTATTTTAGCTTCGTCATAAAGAATCTGAGGGAAAAAAGAGAGATTTGTTTATGTTTTTATAAAGTAGGAGAGAACACTATAAAACAGCAGAGCAACTCGCTTCATTATTCAGAAAGCTTCAGTCGAACAGTAAAGCACACACACACACAATGGTTAGCCTCCTGGTTCTGTCACTGGAGAATAATTCAGTACTTCATGCTTTGTGATGAATGGTTTTGGGAATCTTTACTGAAAAAACGTTTCGCCACACAGTGGCTTCATCAGTCCAATACAAAGCAGCAAGGTATAAGGAAAGGACTGATTACCTCAAACTCCTCCTCTCCTTATACCTTCCTCCTTTGTACTGGACTGATGAAGGCAACTTCATACATTGTTTTGGGAGTCATTCTAAGAAATATATTATCATGATTATGTACAATGGTGTAAATTATTATTTAATCGTGAGAGAGTTGTAAACATAATTTTTTCTTTTATTTTCAGAAATTTGTGTTGTCACTGGTGGGCGTTGCCCTCCTAGCCTCTCTGATCCAGGCTGATGGTCACGGTGGTCACGGAAGTGGTGGACATGGCAAAGGGCACGGTGGTGATGGACACGGCAAAGGCTATGGTGATGGAGGGCACGGTGGAAGCTACGGAGGAGGACACAGCAAAGGCTATGGAGGAGGACACAGCAAAGGCTACGGAGGAGAACACAGCAAAGGCTACGGATACAGTGGAGGCTATGGAGGTGGACACGGCAAAGGCTCCGGAAGTGGACATGGTGGAGGCTATGGAGGGAGTGGATATGGTGGAGGCTACGGAGGATACGGAGGTGGTGGAGGCTACGGAGGTTACGGAAGTGGTGGATATGGTGGGGGATATGGTGGGGGATATGGTGGGGGATATGGTGGTGGACATGGTGGCGGCTATGGCAGTGGTGGACATGGCAGTAGCTACGGTAGTGGCGGTTATGGTGGTAGCAGCTATAGTAGTAGCAGTTATGGTGGCAGCAGCTATGGTGGTGGACATGGTGGCGGCTATGGCGGAAGCGGACATGGTAGCAGCTATGGTAGTAGCAGCTATGGTGGTGGACATGGTGGCGGCTATGGCAGTGGTGGACATGGTGGCGGCTATGGCAGTGGTGGACATGGCAGCAGCTACGGTAGTGGCGGCTATGGCGGTAGCAGCTATGGTGGTAGCAGTTATGGTGGCAGCAGCTATGGTGGCGGCTATGGCAGTGGCGGACATGGTAGCAGCTATGGCGGCAGCAGCTATGGTGGTGGTGGCAGCAGCTATGGTGGTGTCAGCAGCTATGGTGGTGGCAGCAGCTATGGCGGCAGCAGCTACAAAGGAGGCTACGGGAAGTAAGAAACTCATTAATCACGATGATAAAAAAAATGAGGATCTGTCTCCAGATTTGTTTTTCTTATCAATTTCTCAGGAAACTTTCACGTGGTTCCTTGAGTCAACGCCGTATAAAAAATATTTCTTATATATATATAACTAAATAAAGTCTAACACAGTCAGTCGAATATTTCACTGAATCCCTCTGTCTCACTGAAACATTTATCTGTATATATTTTGCATCTTAGTTCCATAAATCTTTTTCTGTATGTCGAGAGCTTCTTTTAGAACCTGGCATACTTGAGGGGAAAACTATTTGTCTTATCCTTGTCGTTAACCTCATCTCTGACTCACGACATCGTGTAATAACACGATTGGAAACCAGTGTGACCAACTGTGACCACAAATGCATCTGTGGTTACAGTGGAGCTCATGCTGACCTCCCTATTGTGTACAGAAATATACATATACCTAGTAGGCTCCTCCTGCATAACAAAATGATTATAGATGGGCTGACTGGTGTCAGTCTTTCTCAGTCTCAAGTCACTGAAGTACATTTGAAATTCTTTTCGTATTATTCTTCTCAATTTGTTGCTAACTCACAGCCCAAAATTGTAATCTACTCCCTCTTTGAAGGCATATAACTTCGCCAGTTCGTCATCTCTGACCTCGGGGTAATCGTATTCTTGCTGGAAAGTTAAACACATTGCTTTTAAACGCTCTTCCATTTATGCATCTCTCATATATAAATATCTATTTACTTAATTTGTATGCTGAAGCAAGAACACCTCACAGATTGTCGAAAGAGCACAGAGGATCGAAGTCTATGACTATACCTGCAAGTCTCCTACTATGCCGGTATTGTCATAGACTTGTAATCACAGACAGTTCTTTATGTTGACGATATAATTAATTCTAATTTCTCACCGATTCTATGTTGCTCCTGTTAATTCGAAAGTTCAGCAAACTATCGCCTTGATACATCTTGTGTACCAGTAACAGCTTGGATAATGCTAGTTTTCCTTCTTCTTATGCTTGTGTTGTAGCGAGCAATTTTTTAGTCTAACGTTTTGGTTGATGTCTCGACTCCCGAACAAGTCTTTCATCCAGAGAAAGCAAACTCTGGGTATCTTCCTTATTTGTAACTTGGAGGCAACTGTTTTGACGTGACGGGAGTTAGTTTTGGATAAACAACGATAGATGCTCGGGCCAAGTGACGAAAAGTCTAATACTGACCAGTCCAGAAACTAACCCATATTAGAGTGCAACATTGCACAACGAGGAGTCGGGAGATCTAGAGCAGCATCATTCTCTAAGAAAGTGAACCCTTGACTCTATTAAATATGAATCTTATTTGAATATATCATGATTACTGATATACAGGGTATGACACTCATGTTTTAAAATGGAAGACTCGATTATGTTCCTATCTATGGTTGAAAAGTTCAAGAACAGTTAAGATAATGATAACATTTTTGAACAGAGTTACAAATAACATTCGATTCCTGGCATGTCATAGCTGCACACTAGTATTTTGATATTCTGTCCTATAGCGGTTTTTCTCCTATTGTCCAACATATGATGAGACACTGGTTGATGTGTGAAAAACCAATAATTAGTCCATTTCGACCCCTCTGTGACTGGTTTTACATGTTTCAATATGGAACATGGAAACCAACATCGAAACTATAAAACAGAATAAGTGTATTGTTTACCATCCCAAGCACTTAAATTCTTAGTTTCAAATGTCTACTAAATTCACTTCACTGCTAGTATTATTAGCACCAGATGAAAAGGCTTTTCGGAAATTTTATGACTAAGGAAAATAGTCGCACATGCAATGGTTAATTGGCAACCCAATTTTAACATTCCTCGAAGCCAGTGTAAATCTGATGCTCTAACTACCGATGGCTTGGCGCTAATATTCCTGCACCTGACTTACAGTGCAAGTGAGTCCTGCCTCTAAAGGAAGAAAAAAACAAAGCCAAAAGAGCTAATCAGGAGAATTAATTTATACCTACCATAGCTATGAGGATGCTATACTGGTTCACACACTTGCAGGTTACAAGTGAAATTTACTGGAAAGTACAGAACATCATCTTTTAGATGATAAACGAAAATGAAGAGTTAGTTTAAAGTCTGTATGATGGACTCCATGCCCAGCGTGTGGGCGATAGTCCAAAGATGAAGAGAACGGAAAAAATCACATGTTTACAGTCAACACGCTTTTCAACCCGAAGACGGAAAACACATCATCTGAAACTTGCGTCCATTTATTATACAACTTTTGTTGTTGCAAACAATCGTGTATAATTTTTATATTCCTCAAGGAATTATTTGGAAAATAATAATGTACATACGACCACGAAGAAAAATTGTATATAATGAAGTCGTAGCATTATTAAATGCTAAGATTTCATTGTATACAGATTTCCTTAAATAGATTACCTTAAATTTAGGCTGCCTTAAGTACAGAGTACTTTATATAAAAAGTACTACAAATACAGAGTTCTTTAAATACAGAGTATCTTGAATACAGACAAGTATTTTAAATACAGACTATTGTAAATACAGAATGTTTTAAATACAAATTACCTTAAATGCAGACCCCCTTAAACAGAAACTACTTGAAATACATATTACCTTAAACAGAGACAACGTTTCCTCAGGTGTCGTTCACTTAGAACTATCTGCAACACAGCCACTACTCTGTGGTGCTCCTTGGTGTTTTATATGTAGTGGAAAATCCACAGTAACATCTTAGGATGCGTTATTTAAGATCATTCGAAGTGGATTTGGTTATATGCTCACAATTCGAGGAGGATTTGGTCACATAAAAATAATAATAAAATATTAATAAAATAATAAAAATGATAATAATAACAACAATAATCTTTATTTCTACAAGTATATGATACAGTTTACAAATACCTAGCTGACATCAATGACATACTATATATAAAGCCCCTGGTTATGCTTAACATTTCTGGCAAATTAGGTTAATTTTGTCCCCAGGATGCGACTCACCCAGTTACCTATTTACTGCTAGGCCAGCAGGGACAGCAGGTGTCTTAAGGAAACACGGCCCAATGTTTCCACTCGCACCGGGGATCGAGCCACGGGCCTCAGTGTGTAAGCTGAGTGCGCTACCAACTGAACTACGAGACACAAGCTCCATTGAACGGGGTCTTCATACGACTAAAACACACATGAGGATAAATTTTCTCTTGTTTCCTTGAAATATAGAATACATCATTATCAGTCTAGAGTAACTTAATCAACGATGTAAACAGCATTTCTGAATAAAGTGAAAGAGAGAGAGAGAGTGAATGAGTTTTAAGTTTCTTTCTCTCGTATATTTAGCTTCGTCATGAAAACATCCGAGAAAAACGGATTCGTGTTTGCTGTTTTTTTGTAAAGGAGAAAGAAGAGTATAAAACAGCAGAGCAGCAAGGTTCATTATTCAGAAAGTCTCAGGCTGCCAGTACAATACACGCAAAAGCAATGGTAAGTCTCCTGGATAAACCAATGAAGCACAATTGAGTGAATGCTTTTAGTTCTGGGACTCAATCTGAGAAATATTTTGCGATGTTTACATACCATGGTATGAGGAAGAGAGAGAGATCTAAATATTAGTTTTTCTTTTACTTTCAGAGATTTCTGCTACCTTTGGTGAGCGTTGCCCTCCTAGCCTCCCTGACCCAGGCTGATGGAGACACTGGAGGCCACGGAGGTAGTGGACATGGCAAAGGTCACGGTGGTGAACATGGTAAAGGCTATGGAAGCAGTGGACACGGTGAAAGTTACGGGAGTGGTGGACATGGCAAAGGCTCTGGAGGCAGTGGACACGGTGCAAGCTACGGGAGCAGTGGACATGGCAAAGGCTCTGGAGGCAGTGGACACGGTGCAAGCTACGGGAGCGGTGGACATGGCAAAGGCTATGAAAAAAGTGGACACGGTGGAAGCTACGGGGGTGGTGGACACGACAAAGGCTCTGGAGGTAGTGGACATGGTGCAAGCTACGGAGGGGGTGGACACGGCAAAGGCTACGTAGGCGGTTCACATGGAGGCTACAGCGGAGGTGGACACAGTAAAGGTTACGGAGGTGGACATAGTGGAGGTTATGGAGGTGGTGGCTATGGTGGAGGCTACGGAGGTGGATACGGAAATGGTGGATACAGCGGTGGGCATGGTGGTGGAGGATATGGTAGCAGCTATGGTGGTAGCAGCTATGGTGGCAGCTATGGTGGTAGCAGTTATGGTAGTGGCGGACATGCTAACAGCTATGGCGGTAGCAGCTATGGTAGTGGCGGATATGGAAGCAGCTATGGTAGTGGTGGACATGGTAGCAGCTATGGTGGTAGTGGTGGATATGGTAGCAGCTATGGTGGTAGTGGTGGATATGGTAGCAGCTATGGTGGTAGTGGTGGATATGGTAGCAGCTATGGTGGTAGTGGCGGACATGGTAGCAGCTATGGTAGTGGTGGACATGGTAGCAGCTATGGTGGTAGTGGTGGATATGGTAGCAGCTATGGTGGTAGTGGCGGACATGGTAGCAGCTATGGTAGTGGTGGACATGGTAGCAGCTATGGTAGTGGTGGACATGGTAGCAGCTATGGTGGTAGCATTTATGGTAGTGGTGGACATGGTAGCAGCTATGGTGGTAGCATTTATGGTAGTGGTGGACATGGTAGCAGCTATGGTGGTAGCAGCTATGGTAGTGGTGGGCATGGTAGCAGCTATGGTAGTGGTGGGCATGGTAGCAGCTATGGTGGTAGCAGCTATGGTTCTAGCAGCTATGGTAGTGGTGGACATGGTAGCAGCTATGGTGGTACCAGCTATGGTAGTGGTGGACATGGTAGCAGCTATGGTGGTAGCAGCTATGGTAATGGTGGACATGGTAGCAGCCATGGTGGAGGCAGTTACAAAGGAGGTCACGGAAAGTAAACAAGATCTCATAAATTACGATAAAAAGAAAAAAATGTCGACCTTATGCCAAATTTATTTTCATTATTGAGGTCTCGAGAAACCATACACGTGTGGATCCTTCGCCAATATTATCTAGAAATATTTATTTTTATATGTTACTAAATAAAATCTGATAAAAAAGCGTGTCTAATATATTACTGAATTCCTTTATTTTTATTAAACATTTGGGCTGTGGAAAATACTGTATATATTTTCCAGAAATACAGTAGTTATTAAATGTAAATAGATGGCCATACTGTATTTAAAATTTATGTAATCGAAAACGGGAAGCTGCGCCTGCGCAGGAGACTCGCCATCTTGGTTTTGAATTGGATACGTTAGTGTAATGGGAAGGAATTTTCGTGCTCTAGAGGTTAAAATTGGGCTGACACCTCTCAGATAGGAGGCGAAATTGTTGGACATGCATTCCAGCATAACTTGAGATATCAGATGACTGGACAAGACAGCTCCAGGAACCTCAGATAAGCTCTCTAGATTTGTATATAATTCTGGCCAGTGTTTTCATAAATTTAGTTCGAGTGAGGTTTTTCTGAGTATGATACAACTTAATATCCAGTCAAATTGGTGAGTGATATTAAGATATATTTTCCTTCTGTTATGTAATTGTGTATATATATAACCATTTATTATTTTTAATATACGGTCCACAAATTTATATATTTACCAGTATTCCTGGTGTATGTATATTTCATTTAATTAATAGGTCCAGAGCAACTTGTGGTTATGACAGTGGTAGGTATCGAAGGGGGACATTTTTGCGACCTAGGTGTCCCAAATTCCTACTTGTCTAACTGATAAATAATAATTATCTATGTTCATTTATTGTTATGTACATAATGATACATACAGATAAATGCAATTTTCCACATGAGCCTTTGTTTTACTGTTCTTTTCTTAGTTCTAAAATGTTTTAGGTGTTGATCTCGAGTTTCATTTTTTTAACCTGGCGTTCATTAGAGGGGAAACGATTTGTTTCATCGCTAATTTCGCCTCTGAGCTCTGAGCATAAGGGTGTAGGTGAGTGTGAGTTAGACCTGACCAGCTTGGGTAAGTAGGCCTGCTGCAGTGCTCCTTATTTCTTACGTTTTTATGTTCAAAGCTACACTATAATGTTTTTACGTGATCCTTCGTGATCCATCAGTGTCACATACATCAGATGCCCAGTAGCACTGGACGTGTCACTCCTGATGCGGACACATGCGTGATTGTGGCAATCTAAAGAATTAATTTCATTCTCCCCCATTTGGAATACCAGTCACACAAGTAGTATATATATATACTGTGTATATATATATATATATATATATATATATATATATAATATATATATATATATATATATATATATATATGTCGTGCCGAATAGGCAGAACTTGCGATCTTGGCTTAAATAGCAACGCTCATCTTGCCATATAGGACAAGTGAAAATTTGTGTATGCAATAATTTCGCCAAAATCATTCTGAACCTAACGAAAAAAATATATTTGATTGTGTTTGTTTAGCATTAAATTACTGTAAACGTATTTAAAATATATTTAGTTGGGTTAGGCTAAAATAAATTGTTCTTGTTATAATAAGGTTAGGTAAGTTTTCTAAGATTCTTTTGGTGCAAAATTAAAATTTTTTACATCAACATTAATGAAAAAAATATATCTTTAAACGTATAAGAGAAAATTTCAGAAAGGACTTAATTTTAAATGAGTTCTTGCTAATTGACCAGTTTTACAAATTCGGCACGACATATATATATATATATATATATATATATATATATATATATATATATATATATATATATATATATATATAGTAGGTTGGTAGACAGCAACCACCCAGGGAGGTACTACCGTCCTGCCAAGTGAGTGTAAAACGAAAGCCTGTAATTGTTTTACATGATGGTAGGGTAGGATTGCTGGTGTCTTTTGTCTGTCTCATAAATATGCAAGATTACAGGTATGTCTTGCTACTTCTACTTACACTTAGGTCACACTACACATACATGTACACGTTTATCTATACACACTCATCTGAGTTTTCTTTGATTTTATCTTAATAGTTCTTGTTTCCTATTATTTTTCCTTTTATATCCATGGGGAAGTGGAATAAGAATCTTTCCTCCGTAAGCCATGCGTGTTGTAAAAGTCAACTAAAATGCCGGGAGCAATGGGGTAGTAACCCCTTTTCCTGTAATAATTACTAAAAAGAATAAGAAAATTTTCAAAGTGCGATGTCTGAATGTACTTGGATGTTGTGCAAATGATAAGAAAGAGATGATTGTGAATGTTATGAATGAGAAGAAGCTGGATGTCCTGGCTTTAAGTGAAACAAAGCTGAAGGGGGTGGGAGAGTTTCAATGGAGAGGAATAAATGGGATTAGATCAGGGGGTTCAAATAGAGTTAGAGCTAAAGAAGGAGTAGCAATAATGTTGAAGGATAAGCTATGGCAGGAAAAGAGGGACTATAAATGTATTAATTCAAGGATTATGTGGAGTAAAATAAAGGTTGGATGTGAAAAGTGGGTTATAGTAAGCGTATATGCACCTGGAGAAGAGAGAAGTGTAGAAGAGAGAGAGAGAGATTTTGGAAAATGTTGAGTGAATGGGTGGGGAGTTTTGAACCAAGTATGAGAGTAATGGTGGTTAGGGATTTCAATGCTAAAGTGGACAAAAATGTTTTGGAGGGAGTAGTAGGTAAATCTGGGGTGCCAGGGGTAAATGAAAATGGGGAGCCTTAATTGAGCTATGTGTAGAAAGAGGTTTGGTAATAAGTAATACATATTTTATGAAGAAGAGGATAAATAAATATACAAGGTATGATACAGCACGTAATGAAAGTAGCTTGTTAGATTATGCATTGGTGGATAAAAGGTTGATGTACACGTTTATAGAGGGGCAACTGATATATTGGATCATTATTTAGTTGTAGCTACAGTTAGAGTAAGAGGTAGATGGGAAAAGAGAAAAATGGCAACAAGAGGGAGGTGAAAGTGAATAAACTAAGGGAGGAGGAAATTCGGGTGAGATATAAAAATTATTGGCAGAAAGGTGGGCTGGTGCAAGTATGAGTAGTGGGGGGGTTGAAGAGGGTTGGAATAGTTTTAAGAATGCAGTATTAGAATGTGGGGCAGAAGTTTGTGGTTATAAGAGGGTGGGTGCAGGAGGAAAGAGGAGTGATTGGTGGAATGATGAAGTAAAGGGTGTGATAAAAGAGAAAAAGTTAGCTTATGAGAGGTTTTTACGAAGCAGAAGTGTTATAAGAAGAGTATATGGAGAGTAAAAGAAAGGTGAAGAGAGTGGTGAGAGAGTGCAAAAGGAGAGCAGATGATAGAGTGGGAGAGGCACTGTCAAGAAATTTTAATGAAAATAAGAAAAAATTTTGGAGTGAGTTCAACAAGTTAAGAAAGCCTAGAGAACGAATGGATTTGTCAGATAAAAACAGAGTAGGGGGAGTTAGAGGAAGGGGAGATGGAGGATAGATGGCGAGAATATTTTGAGGAACTTTCAAATGAAATTAAGACACATGTGCAACATCTGGGTATCTTTATTGTAGACGTTTCGCCATCCAGTGGCTTTATCAATACAAATTCCAGGACACAACTTGAAGACAGTAGAACTATGTACAGAAGATGAGGTAATCAGTCCCTCAACCTTGGAGTAGGTGTGAAGAGCACCGTAGTCGTGGAGATTCTGAAGCAGAAGCAAGGAGCCTGACGCTTATAGGTTGGCTTATCTGTTTATGATATTATATGCGCGCCTTTATTCAAGAATATTTTAATACTTATATAGGGGATTAGAGTAAGCTTTCAGTGTACAGACACTGAATGTTTATAACCTTGAAATAAAAAGTAAATCAGTATTGTGAGAGACTTTAATGCTAAAGTGAGAGAGTCAGTTGTAGAGAAAGTACTAGAGAAATCTCTTTACACTGTTGCCCTTGTGAGGAAGTACTAGCTAAGTCTCTAGGAAAATCTGGTGGTAAGAGTTGCGTGTCTGTCTCGCTCTTGCTGAGGATCGAGCCTCTACCATTCCTTGCCCTGAAAAACCCACACGGATTTAGCACTTCACATAAATAAAATAAATATATATATACGTAAATTTTTGGTCGCATGTTCATTTACTGTTACTGTTTTGGGTGGTATCCTCTGGGGATAGTAGTATACCTTAAACAGGGAGGAACTCTGAACTGAGCCCAACTATTACAACAACTCTTAACCTATTAATTCTATATAAAAATAATAGAACTTTTCACTTAATTATTTTAATGAAATTTAGTAAGAGATAATATATATTTAATAAATAGCACACTTACGAATGTATTGTATGATTATGTAGGCAACTACGATAGTTTACTGTACTGTTATATTGGTGGATAAAAATCTGACCCGTAGTAGGCAGAACATCTTTCCATACATCTGGAATAACTATAAAGTCCGGTTTGCCGGACTTGAGTCCTGAAGGTGGGAAGTACAGTACCTGCATCCTGAAAGAGTGGTGAAGATATTTTGAGCTGTATTGCCAGCAAACGTCACTCACAAGACTGACAGTGATGGTGAAAGTATTTTTTTCTTTTCGGGTCACCCTTCCTTGGTAGGAAACTGCCGGCGTGTTAATTAAAGAGACATAATTTTAAGCTATCAGTATAGGTCGGCTTCTGATACTGCAAACACAACTAGATCTATAAAATTTTAGCACTTTCTAAATACTACTAAATTTTCCTTACACCTTCTACATTTAATACTTGTAAGATTTACCCACATGCAGCAAGGCTTAGTTTACTCTAGATCTAATACTTTTTAGTTCCCCAGGTATCTTATATGGTTAAGTATTCATCCCAGAAGTGAAAATATTTTAGATTCTGCTCTAAATTGTGGATCATTCCTCCAATACATAGCAAGATTTAGTCCCTCTACATCCTGTAAACTTTAGTAATCCTCCTAGATGTAGTGTGATTTAGTTTACTGTAGATCCAGTACTATTTAGCTTCTTCACCTTCTCAAGTTTGCTATTCTTACAATAAGTAGCAAAGATTAGTTTACTCTAGGCTTGATAAAGGTATTTTATTTCTGCATATCCATGGGGAAGTGAAAAAGAATTGTTCCTCCGTAAGCCATGCGTGTTGTAAGAGGCGACTAAAATGCCGTGAGCATAGGCCTAGTAACCCCTTCTTCTGTATAAATTAATAAATGTAAAATAAGAAAATCTTTATGAAAGTGTTTCTTCTTTTTCGGGTCACACTGCCTCGGTGGGAAACGGGGCCGGTGTGTTAAAAAAAAAAACTCCAGATTTTTACCTCTCTTCAAGATGTCCAACCGTATCATTATTCAAAATAATATTTTTTGCCTCTTTTCATTATATACAGTAGTTGAATAGAATGAATAACAACAACTGGAGCGCATTAACTGGGTATATATACACCAACAATATGCAACAACCACTATTAAAAAATAGTGAACTTCCAAACACTTCGTGAATTCTCACATTATCAAGTTCCTTGTTAATGTAAGAAATCACTAAAGCACGTGGAAGTTCAATAATTTTTCAAAGTGGTTGTTTTGCATATTGTGTTATCTGTTTACTGTGATCTTATTGTACCAAGAGGTGTGTTTCTTAGAATATATACAGTATACTGACTTTAATTCCTTATTAAGGGATTAAAGTATCGTTGTCAGGTGGTAAATGTATTACATGCAGCCTAAATTACTTAACAAATCAGTTACACGAAATCACAAAATTTATAACGTACTACAGGTATTTAATTAGTTTTAACGAGATGTAGTACCACCGCCCCCATTTCTCACTATTTATCATAAAAAGTGACAATAATTCTGACAAAAAACGTATTGAGCAAAACCTATTGTCTTTATTTGGTATTTTTTTTACATCCTGATTGTCGAACATTCCGCTTCCGGAACATGTAATATGACGCCATAATTTGGGAAAGGAGTATAAAAAGGCCAGTCAATGTGCCCAGTCGTCAGTTTTACAGTCAGTCAGGTCAACTCGCACCAACAATGGTACATATTCCTTTCTCACTTCCTCACCATAAAAGAAAAATTGTGAAATCTCTCTATTCACTAATTATTACATTAAATCCATCCGTCTCCAAAATAAGTAAATGCAGATTACTTTTAGTGGTAATATTTAGTACTAATAACATTCTTGTTTCTATATTGACTTGCGGATTTTTGTTTACTTACAGAAGCTGATTGTGTCTCTCATTGGAGTTGGCCTTTTGGCTTCCTTGAGCACGGGTCAGGGACACGGAGGAGGCTACGGTGGAGGACACGGGGGTGGACACGGTGGCAGAGGTGGTGGACACGGCGGAGGCTACGGTGGTGGTGGTGGACACGGTGGAGGCTACGGAGGTGGACACGGTGGAGGCTACGGAGGTGGACACGGTGGGGGCTACGGAGGTGGACACGGTGGAGGCTACGGAGGTGGTGGACACGGTGGAGGCTACGGAGGTGGTGGACACGGTGGAGGCTACGGAGGTGGTGGACACGGTGGAGGCTACGGAGGTGGTGGACACCGTGGAGGCTACGGAGGAGGTGGACACCGTGGAGGCCATGGAGGTGGATACGGTGGAGGTTACGGTGGAGGTTACGGAGGTGGCTACGGTGGTGGCCACGGAGGTGGCTATGGAGGACACATTGGTGGAGGTTACGGCTATGTTGGAGGCCACGGGAGTGGTGGACACGGAGGTGGACGTGGTGGACATGGTGGATACGGAAAGTAAAAAGCTTACTAACCTGTGGAATACAGTGACACATTCACTCACAAACCATCACAGAATTTACTGGGCATAATTTTGCAAGTTCACACCGTATATATTTAAGTTTGTAAATACAGGAGAATAAATATAAAATACTGTAAACATCTTCATTTGTCCTAAATGTGTTGATGTCAGCAAAGAATTAACTAGATGGACGATCCAAGAGCGACATCTCCCGTTTTCTATAGCACCAGCAAGATGCAAGAGTTAGAGGGCAGACGGTTCAACACTGAAGAAAAGCAGGAGCTATATAGCTCGTCTCTCCCAAGAAGCCCAGCAGTTAAGTTTCGCCCAAATCGTGCGTATCCCACGTTAACCTTGTAAGCAATGTCCAGAGAAGGTATATGTGGGCGAAAAGAGTAGATGTTTGGAAAAACATAAAAGTACCAGAGCGCATGAACATGTATTTCTTCACACGCGAGGAAGTATGTGAGAGAGAGTTACATAGACCCCAATCTCAATTAGCATGAAAACGCTTGTCGTGCTGACAGTGTAGTTATTTTTGTGATGTTCACTTGGCTAGCCACGTCCATTTGATGAAGCGGGATGACACCCAACTCACCATAGCGGAAGATGTAAATAAACTCCATTGTTCAGAATCTGTGGTTGTCTTAGCAATACAGCTGTACCGAACAGGGGACCTTCAATATTTTCAGAATTTTGGCTAAATTGATTCTAGGCCGTCAGGACACAGCTCTCGGGTCAAGTAAATAATACTTCTGTGAGCCCCACCAACAATACAACTAACCTTCATGCTATTTTTCTTTCCTGTTATTCCTCTATATTGGTCTGAAAAAAAAAACTAGTAATTACGCAAAACGTGTACTTAATAAAGTTGTTTCACGTTGTCTGTCTCTTATAAATTTATTACTATCATTGTTTCTATCCTCTCGCGGAGAAACAGAAGAAATATATTAACATTGGCAAATATTTCCTTTTACGTGGTCCTTCGTTTTTCCCAATCTTATTCATGTATCTGAAAAAAACCTTCTGGTTTGCATTTTTGTTTCCTCGCAAATTTAATCCCATATTCCCTTTTGGTTTTTCAAGTTTATTTTTAACTTTATGGTCAATAAGATGACCCTCTCCTCTTTTGATTCGTATTAATAATACCTCTCATATTGCCACCATTCACCTCATTATTCATAATATATATACATAAGATGGTTTGATAGGGGGAGCGGAATATTCAAATGGCTTCAGGAAGAAATCAAAGCATTTTTCTCAAGGGTTTTTCATCTACTTCTCCAAGGCTATGGGTCCCAGAGTTTGCACTTGTGGTGGACCCCAATTGATTTTGGCGTAAATAGCGACTCTCTTCTTGCCAAATAAGGAAAGCTAAAATTTGTGTTTGACAAGAAACACCGTAGGCTTTACCGTATCCTCTACCATGGCCTCCTCCGTAGTCTCCTCAGTATCCACCTACGTAGCCTCTAGCCTCTACCATATCCTTCGTAGCCTCCTCCATGTTCACCGACAAAACCTACACGTCCACTAGCCTGGCTGAAGACAGCCAGCGCAGCGACACAGTAGTAAAACACAAAAAAAAGCCTCTGAGACTGACACGGGATCATATAATATATATATATATATATATATATATATATATATATATATATATATATATATATATATATATATATATATATATATATATATATATATCTTCCACGCTCGTAATCATGCAGTATTGTCTTGAAAAAATATTGTAAATTATATTATGTTAAAGTGTGTAATTCTACAATATTGCTACGAGAAAAATAACAAAGAGAATATTTGTTAATAAAGTAAGCTGGATCATAGAGCTCAGAACCTTAAACTAAGCTTTGAAATTAGAGAGCCTGACCACTGTGGCTTCTCAGGGGCAGTAGACTAAGTGCTGACGCGACATTCACTCACTTTTAAACACTTTGTACAACTTCTGACAAAAGTGGCGACTCACTTCAAGTGACGTATAACACAAAGAGAACTTGGCCTTACTGGACGCAAGGTCGTGTCTTTCGCACTACTGTATTTAAGGAAAATAAATTTGTTGATAGATTTACCGTCATGTTATTTTATAAGCATTTCACTTTATCTATAGGAAAATCGTATATTCAGATGCTTTACATTCCATGAATTTTGCTTTTGGTCATCGGACCAAGACCTTCCGCTGGCTTACCGGTCCACTCCTCTAAAAATATTGTTTAATAATTTGCCAGTGAAGTAAATACATTGGGTAGGCTCATGAGTCAGCATTGTTGTGTGTGAGAAGGTCGTGTCTAGCATGGGTTAGCAGTAGAGGATGTAACACAAAAGCAGTAACTGAAGCTTTTTTCAGAAAAACTTTCGCCTGCACAACAGGCTTTTTTAAGTGTAATTAAGCATAGATGGTGACATTACAGGGTGTTTCAAAATGATGTACTTAATTTCAAAGCAGTATACGTTTATCACTGTCGGGTTTATCGTTTTGAAACACCCTGTAATGTCACCATCTATGCTTAATTACACTTATAAAAGCCTGTTGTGCAGGCGAAAGGTTTTCTGGAAAAAAGCTTCAGTTACTGCTTTTGTTTCATCGTCTACTGCTGACCCATGCTAGACACGACCTTCTCACACACAAAAACGCTCACTCATGATCCTTCCCAATGTTTTTGCTTCACTGGCAAATTAAACAATATTTGTTTTTAGAGGAGTGGACCGGTAAGCCAGCGGAAGGTCTTGGTCAGATGACCAAAAGCTCCAGTGACGGGGTCATGTGACTGAGGCCCGAGTCAAGAAGCAATTATTCTGTTTCCTGGCGAATCCTAACTAACCTCTACAATGGCCTCTTAATGATTATATTTGACGCGAAGACGTAAGTTGACTGTACTCACCTAATTGTGGCTGCAGAGGTCGATACTCAGCTCCTGGCCCCGCCTCTTCACTGAACGCTACTTGGTCCTCTCTCTCTCCCTGCTCCATGAGCTTTATCATACCTCGTCTTCAAGCTATGAATGGTTTCTGCCTCCACTATATCATTTGCTAGACTATTCCACTTCCTGACTACTCTATGACTGAAGAAATACTTCCTAACATCCCTTTGACTCATCTGAGTCTTCAACTTCCAAGTGTGACCCATTATTTCTGTGTCCCATCTCGGGAACATCCTGTCTCTGTCCACCTTGTCTATTCCACGCAGTATTTTGTATGTCGTTATCATGTCTCCTCTAACCCTCCTGTCCCTCAAGTGTCGTCAGACCGATTTCCTTTAACCTTCCTTCGTAGGACATTCCCCTTTGCTCTGGAACTGTGTGCCAATATCTAAATAAGTACGTTACGTTGATAGGTAAACGGTTTTGTCATAAATATATATTTTATAACACACGGACCGTCACCTCCGACGTACGGTGATGAGAAAAAGAGAAAACACCTTTACCGTCATTCATTCAATCACTCTCTTGCCAGTAGCAAGGTAACATCAATTCAGATAACTCTCTGAACTGCAACATTCCCACTCCTCATCTATGCTAATAGATAAATGAATTAGCATATTGTTAGACAATTCTGTCATCTTGTTGCATAAGGTTGCACAATAAGTTTTAGCGAAGCTTCTTCGTTATATTACGAAACTTAAAGCACGACATTAGAACGAAAAATCTCAAGAATTTCATAGAGAAACAACAACTCTGTGGATAATAATGTACATAAAAATAATTTTTTTATGTACATAACATCTTGTCTGAAAAAATTGAAGTCCTCACACAATTCACCCAAATTAAAAGTAAAATAAACAGACAGTAAAAAATATTACAGTGACGCATTGAATTTTATTAACATGTTGGTTTAAAATTCAGAGGTACAGAGAAACAATGCCTTGGTTAAAAAAAAGAAATTGAATTCGTGATTACAATTCTCTCAAGTAGTGCAATGCGTTATTTTCTTATATAAACTGTGATTTTTATGTGAATAAACAATGTAATGAGATCGAAGGTTCGTAATAAATATGAAAAACAACGTCAATGACTGGAGAACATTCCCTGGTTAAACCACTTTAGTTTTATGGCGGTTTACAGGATATAAAAGCCATTTAGACTCTCTTTCTCTCTCTCTCTCTCTCTCTCTCTCTCTCTCTCTCTCTCTCTCTCTCTCTCTCTCTGTCTCTCTGTCTCTCTGTCTCTGTCTCTCTCTCTCTCTCTCTCTCTCTCTCTCTCTCTCTCTCTTTTATTTTTTTAAACTGGGTTTGACAAGGTTAGGTTAAGGATTCCTAACTTTATTGACAAGCTAAGAGCTCTTCTCTCTCTCTCTCTCTCTCTCTCTCTCTCTCTCTCTCTCTCTCTCTCTCTCTCTCTTAAACAATATACAGTAACTTTACTTGTTAAACAGATGACGCTGAAGTAGCAACAACCATTTTCTTAATTGGAAAATCGTGCCATAAACAAATCTACCTATTTACCTATAGATGGTTCTCTGGTGGTCATGGCTCCCCACGGCCCGGTCGTGGACCAGGCCTCCTAGTTGATGCCCTGGTTAGTCAGGCTACTGGCGCTAGCTGACCGCATTCCAACGCAGGCACGGCTGCTACGTTAGGAAAATGGGATTTCACGCGTGTAAAAGCTCTGATGGTGGCGGCGCGGGTGGTACCGTGACGGACTGGCCTTTTTATCATTACGAACCGCGAGCCTGAGTTACTTGACAATTTTCAAGAGGGTTACATTAATATTATCATAATTTACAGTTAACATGGACTGAATTATTAATTACTACTACTATTACCACTACTTTTATTACCACTACTTCTATTACCACTACTACTATTACCACTACTACTAGTAATACTATTATTACTAATTTTACAATTGCTATTACTACTAGTACTACCACTACTACATTTATTATCATTATCATTTTTATTATTTTATTCGCGGGGAAGCACTAAATCCGTAGGGGAGTTGGAGATAATCAGATTTTTGATCTGAAAAAAAACATAAAAGCTTTAATTTCCTGGCCCCTCAAGGAAGGTTCCTTGATGTTGGTGAGGGGCTCTTGATTTAGGGAATTGGATCTGTGCTCCAGTTCCCCGAATTAAGCCTGAATGCCTTCCACATCCCCCCCCCAAGCGCTGTATAATCCTCCGGGTTTAGCGCTTCACCCTTGATTATAATAATAATAATTAAATTTCCTGGGTCAATATTGATCCACCTGCAAGAAGGCATCCCCGTCTTCGAAGGAACATGAACAGTACTGTATGGTAAATATTGAGATGATTAGGCAAGTCATTCTATTAACAGGAGAAAGATGAATAAAACAAATTAGTTTTGGGAAGCAGTTAGCAGGGCGAGGCAGGGTATGTAGGGGACCAGAGAGAGAGGTAGGCTATGTGGGACTATGGAAGAGGCAGGCTATGCGGAACCATTGGAAAGGCAGGCTTTGAGGGACCATTGGAGAGGCAGTCTATGGGGTGGAAGCACTAAGCTTGTTGGGCTCATACATCACCTGGGTTGATCCAGTTTCACGACTCCAGAGCCTTTCCCCATGAAGGCATCTCCCCCCCTCCCCCATATCTTCGTGTACCAACACGTAAGGGACCATGGGAGAGGCAAGCTACGAGGGAACATGGGAGAGGCAGGCTATGAAAGACCATGGGAGAGGCAGGCTATGAGGGACCATGGGAGAGGCAGGCTATGAGGGACCATTTCTACAGGTAAACAAAATCATAACTGGTTACCTGTACGTTTAATATCAAAGGCGCCAAGCAGCATAAATATTAAAAAAAAAAAATTCTAATCTCGGTTCTGGAATTACAATGAAGTTAATACATTTTTAACATAATTTCAAATAACGTATACAAAGTGTATTTTCACCCTCGAGTCAAACAACTATTTGTCACTGATCTGACTACACACAATAGTTAAGGGGCCTTTCAAGGTTCCCGCGCGCGGAGCAAAAAAAAATTCGAAAATATATGAAAACTGAGTTATTGTTACCAAAAAATAGCTGAACTTCGCTACCAGTGAACACCTGTGTCCTTCAGCGCCTGCCGCCAATATTGCACAAAACAGACAACGTTCTCTCTGTCTTAGCTTGCTCATATAGGCGGCAACAACAATAGAAAGGAGTGGTAAAAAAGACAGTGTGTAGAACAAAACTTTATGACGAAGCTTCGCTTTAAGTACAGCTTTACAAGTCAAGGAATAACGCGAAGTGACTCAGTACGGAAAACGGTGAGGTGACAAGTATGTCATCTATATCATCTGGGATTGTGAACGCAACGTCATCTTTAATTAAGGACAAACAGGACCCAAATATAGTTATATGGAACTTTTTGTTGGCTTATCGCCAGACACTGGCATAAGCAAAACGTTGTCAATGAAGGTTCCATATGTCTATATTTGTCTCCTTGCCATCGTGTTGGAATCTTTTATCAAAGTTCCCATCTTTCAGTGGGGCTTTCCTTGCAAGTGCATTAGTATTATTGAAGGCTCCTTGATTTTGTTTTACGGTGTCGACAATCCATATGATTCACGGCCTCGGAGCCTCGTCTCCTGTCCCTGCTCTAATCATTACCAATATATATAGAATTACCAAACTGCAGCAGGCCAGGGTTCGACCCCACGACACATTGTCCCGCCTCAAGAGACAATACAACGTACATGTCACCTTTTCCACTCAGCCATCGATCCTACAAAGATCACGCACCCAGCAGAGTTGGGTGTTTTTCATGATCCGAGGAAACTCGTGGCATTGGTATCCTCGCCGTGCAGAGACGGGACAATGTGTCGTGGGGTCGAACCCTGGCCTGACGCAGTTTGATAAATGATTCAGAACCACTTTATATATTTTTATTTTTTTTTATTACCACACTGGCCGATTCCCACCAAGGCAGGGTGGCCCGAAAAAAAAAAACTTTCACCATCATTCACTCCATCACTGTCTTGCCAGAAGGGTGCTTTACACTACAGTTTTTAAACTGCAACCACCCAGGGAAGTACTACCGCCCTGCCAGATGACTGTGAAACAGAAACCTGTAACTGTTTTGCATGATGGTAGGATTGCTGGTTTCTTTTTCTGTCTCATAAACACGCTAGATAACAGGGATATCTTGCTACTCCTACTTACACTTTGGTCACACTTCACAGACACGCACATGCATATATATATACATACATCTAGGTTTTTCTCCTTTTTCTAAATAGCTCTTGTTCTTCCTTATTTCTTCTATTGTCCATGGGGAAGTGGAAAAGAATCTTTCCTCCGTAAGCCATGTGTGTCGTATGAGGCGACTAAAATGCCGGGAGCAATGGGCTAGTAACCCCTTCTCCTGTAGACATTTACTAAAAAAGAGAAGAAGAAAAACTTATATATATATATATATATATATATATATATATATATATATATATATATATATATGTGTATATATATATATATCGTGCTCGAACGCTTCTGGATATCAGCAAACTACAGTCAGGATTAATGCAGTAATACACACCACTTAAAGGATATTGATTATAAAAAACTTTTTTGCTTAGGATTATTAGATTAAATATGATGTTTCCAAAAATTGTAATGGGAAATTTCTGATATTATGCAGTTCTAATGATGGACACCTGAGTACCCACAGCGTCTGCTTCTCAAAAATAACATTATTATAGTCACAGGTAAGTTCTAAACTAGGAAGAAATTGCACAGCGAATGAGAAATGAAAGCAAATTCGGTGTGATCAGAAGAACAAGAGTTTAACTAAAATTCCTTGGATCAAGAGTCATTCACCAGAACTAAGGCTCCTCTCCCCCCTACCTTGAATGGTTCTCTGGATCAATAAAATATTTACTAAGCACAGAGTAAAGAAACTGACACATTAACAAATATTTTATTTAGTTCTATGTACACGTGGAAGGTCGTGCTGTGTGAACTTCAGGAACATCGTTGGTAATATTAAATTATGTTATGTTAGCTTTGGTCGTAGTGTCGGGTCGTTTACTTGCCGTATCCATATCCACCATGGCCGCCACCATATCCTCCGTAGCCTCCTCCGTAGCCTCCTCCGTAGCCATAGCCGCCACCATGGCCATATCCTCCGCCGTGGCCATATCCTCCGCCATGGCCATATCCGATAATCCCGCCATATCTGGGACCAGCGAGGTGGAAGTTGTTGGTAGATACTCCGCTGGCATAGCCATAGCCTCCATGTCCTCCTCCGTAGCCGTATCCACCACCATGTCCACCGCCGTGTCCACCACCATAGCCGTAGCCAGCATGTACACCGGTCTGACAAAGGGTGGCCACGACGGCCATGACCACTAATGCAAGCATCGACTTCTGTAAATTACAAACAACATTTAGTACACTAACCACAATCGGAACATTGACATCTGGAAGACAGGTACAACAAATTTCAGCGCTAGAGCAGTGATAAGGTTAGCATATGCAAGACTTACCATGGTGTGGAGCAAGTCAAGTCCTAAGGCACACTGATTACAACTCTCCAAATCCAGTCTTTATATACCCAGCACCAAGACCGTGTTGAAGGTCCTCGCTCCTACCGCTGAGGTATTAAAAAAATATCTCCTAACTCCTTTCACATAAACTAAAATTCCTAATGATTAAATATTTATTGAAAACTGATATCGTTTCGAGTTTCTTTGTGTGCCAGTAACTATTTTATGGATTAACACTGATACTTAAATAACATAGCCAGTAGCTGTGGCTCGATGCACTCTTTTTTATGGCAAAGTACAACTTTTTTTCAAGTTCACTGGCGTATGTATGTATGAATGTATGTATGTACTATGTATTCATATATATATATATATATATATATATATATATATATATATATATATATATATATATATATATATATTATATATATATATATATATATATAGTTGAAAGTGAACATAGAAAAGAGTAAGGTGATGAGGGTATCAAATGATATAGATAAAGAAAAATTGGATATCAAATTGGGGAGGAGGAGTATGGAAGAAGCGAATGTTTTCAGACACTTGGGAGTTGACGTGTCGGCGGATGGATTTATGATGGATGAGGTTAATCATAGAACTGATGAGGGAAAAAAGGTGAGTGGTGCGTTGAGGTAAATGTGGAGTCAAAAAACGTTATCTATGGAGGCAAAGAAGGGAATGTATGAAAGTATAGTAGTACCAACACTCTTATATGGGTGTGAAGCTTGGGTTGTGAATGCAGCAGCGAGGAGGCGGTTGGAGGCTGTGGGGATGTCCTGTCTAAGTTAGGCAATGTGTGGTGTAAATATTATGCAGAAAATTCGGAGTGTGGAAATTAGGAGAAGGTGTGGAGTTAATAAAAGTATTAGTCAGAGGGCTGAAGAGGGGTTGTTGAGGTGGTTTGGCCATTTAGAGAGAATGGATCAAAGTAGAATGACATGGAGAGCATTTAAATCTGTAGGAGAAGGAAGGCGGGATAGGGGACGTCCTCGAAAAGGTTGGAAGGGGTAAGGGAGGTTTTGTGGGCGAGGGGCTTGGACTTCCAGCAGGCGTGCATGAGCGTGTTCGATAGGAGTGAATGGAGACGAATGGTATTTGGGACCTGACGATCTGTTGGAGTGTTAGCAGGGTAATATTTAGTGAAGGGATTCAAGGAAACCGGTTATTTTTATATAGCCGGACTTGAGTCCTGGAAATGGGAAGTACAATGTCTGCAATCTAAAGGAGGGGTTCAGGATATTATCAGTTTGGAGAGATATGTTGTGTATCTTTATACGTATATGTTCTGAGCACCTCTGCAAAAACAGTGATTATGTGTGAGTGAGGTGAAAGTGTTGAATAATGATGAAAGTATTTTATTTTTGGGGATTTTCTTTCTTTTTGGGTCACCCTGCCTTGGTGGGAGACGGCCGACTTATTGAAAAAAAAAATGTATGATATATATATATATATATATATAATATATATATATATATATATATATATATATATATATATATATATATATATATATATATATATATATAAGGGGTGGTAGAAAATTCTCAAACAGCTTCAGGGAGAACCTTGAGTTTTCCCTGAAGCAAGTTTATTCTTTTCTCTGAGGATGAGGGTCCCTATAACAGTTCTAGAGGTGGTACCTCCCATATATATATATATATATATATATATATATATATATATATATATATATATGCAATAAGATCACAGTAAACAGGTGATTTCAAAATATGCAAAACAACCACTCTGAAAGAATAGAGAAATTCCAAGCGCTTTCGTGACTACTCACATTAATGTGAGTAGTCACGAAAGCGCTTGGAATTTCTCTATTCTTTCAGAGTGGTTGTTTTGCATATATATATATATATATATATAATATATATATATATATTATATATATATATATATATATATATATATATATATATATATATATCTTTCTCAAATTCTTTTACAGAAATTAAAATTACATTTCTTTTTTTCACTGAAAATGATAAGATGATTTTTTACTTTTGAACCAAAACTAACTTAAAAACTTCATCTAACTTCACTTAAACAAACGCATTTTTTTACCTAAATTCTGATATATATATATATATATATATATATATATATATATATATATATATTATATATAAAGTCAGTTTACATCTATTTAATATTACTCAAAATAAATGACATAAATTTTTTCGTTTCGTTTACATAATTTCTGATGAAATATGGCAAAAACAAATTTTCATTCTTCTAATTCGGCACTGAACATCCTTGCTAAATACACCAAACTCACCAGTTCGGCTTATATATATATATATATATATATATATATATATATATATATATATATATATATATAATATATATTATATATATAAACACCGAAAAATTATTAATTATATTAAGGGTTTTATTTACATAAAAATAGTTTTTCTATGATATATTTAATGATTAATGTTTGTTGAAGAGACAGAAATATACGAGTATTTAGTTTGACTCACTGTTCAAGCTATAGTCACCAACGTACATTTTGCATTCGTGCGCATTCACGCACACACACACACACACACACACACACACGCGCGCGCGCGCGCACACACACACACACACATACACACCCACCCACCAACCCACCTCGTGTCCGTCTTAATGCATGTCTCTTGTGCTGCAGACTATGCGACACGAGAGACATGCGATCAGTGAAGAGGCGGGGCCAGGAGCTATGTCTAGACCCGTGCAACCACAAATAGGTGAGTACATACACAGGACCTGGTCTGACCAGTGGCTTCTGGAGTTTAGCTCCACCTAGTGCAAAGTTAGGAAGCATGGGGAAAGACAAAGAACGCAGATGGAGTACTGGCTCGTGGGTGAAAGGTTGCAAACCTTACTTAAGAAGAAGGACCTTGGGGTGAGTATCATACCGAGCATATTCCCTGAGGCGTACATCAGCCAAATAACTACTGCAGCAAATACGCGTCAGGAAAACCTAAGACTAGCGTGTACGTCAGACCCATATTGGAATATGCAGCACCAGTATAGAAACCACACCTGGTCAAGCTTGTCAAGAAACTGGAGAAAGTGCAGTGGTTTGCAGCTAGACGACTCCTGGAGCTAAGAGCTTTGCCCTATGACACTGAAATTAATGGGAATAAGGAGGATATAACTATGAGATACAAATTACTGAGAGGCATTGGCTAGGTGAACAGGGATATAATGTTTCAGAGATGGGAAATAGGAACAAGAGGGTACAACTGGAAGTTGAAGGCCCAGATGAGTCATATGGATGTCAGGAAGTGGAACAATCTGGAGAGTGGAGTGGTAGAGAAAGGATCCATACATTAACTTTCAAAAGAGATACGATAAGGCTCTTGAAGCAAGAGAGTGGCCCTTGGACAAACCAACAGAGACGGGGAGAGGATCTGTGACTCGACTCTTGCAACCATATATACGTGAGTACACAAACGCGGTAATCAGCGCATATATATATATATATATATATATATATATATATATATATATATATATATATATATAATTATATATTATATATATATATATACAGAACAACCACTGTGGAAAAAATAGTGAAATTCCAAGCGCTTTCGTGATTTCTCACATTGTTAAGGAACAGTTCATTGACCGCTGGGACAACACGGGTAGCAGGTGAAAGGAAGCTTGGCCATGCGTCTCTACTCTCCTAGGACAAAAATTTTTATACATTTATCAACAGTTCCAATCAACCTGGATGCACTTACGGCATTACTTAAAACATAGGTAAATGCAAATACTGACACTGTCAAAATTATAACCAAGAATGTTACTATGAAAATTCTTTTTTTTTTTTTCAGTGCACCGGCCGTCTCCCACCGAGGTAAAGTGACCTAAAAAGAAAAACGAAAGTTTCTCTTCTACATATAGTAATGTATACAGGAGAATAGGTTACTAGTCCCTTGGTCGCTGCATTTCAGTCGCTTCTTACGACAAGCAAGGATTACAGAGGAAGGCTTCTTTTCCACTTCCCCATGGAGATAAAAGGAAATAAAGAAGAACAAGAACTCTTAAGCAAATAGAAGAAAACTCAGATGGGTGTGTATACATACACGTGTTCATGAATGTGTAGTGTGACCTAAATGTAAGTAGAAGTAGCAAGATGTACTTGATATCTTGCGTGTTTATGAGACAGAAATAAAAGACGCCAGCAATCCTACCACTGTGTAAAACAATTACAGCTTTCCGTTTCACTGGACAGTAGTGCCAAACTGGGTGGCTGCTGTCTACAAACCTTCAACCTCTAGTTACAAAATTAAAATATTTTTAAGCATCAGAAGTAAGATCAGTTCTTCAAGAACAAAAAACTTAAAAAGTAGCATGATATTTGGAATTTTTTTTTTTTTAATTTTAATCTATCACCTTGCTTAATTTCAGTAGCAGGTAAACTCAGACACACAAAAGATTGAGATCTATAATGTGTGGTATTTAAAGCCTTATCCTTAACTCTTAGTTTGGCTTCCATTGGCGTTCTCCCTGGGTGACCCGGTGGCCTGGTGGCTAAAGCTCTGCTTCACACACGATGGACCTGGGCTCGATTCCCGGCGGGGTGGAAACATTTCGACGCGTTTCTTTACACCTGTTGTCCTGTTCACCTAGCAGCAAATAGGTACCTAGGTGTTAGTCGACTGGTGTGGGTCGCATCCTGGGGGACAAGATTGAGGACGCCAATGGAAATAAGTTAGACAGTCCTCAATGACCCACTGACTTTCTTGGGTTATCCTGGGTGGCTAACCCTCCGGGGTTAAAAATCCGAACGAAATCTTATCTTTTCTGGTTGAAAACACTGGGTTGTCCCTAACGTAAATGAACCAGAATAATTAAAGAGAACAAGTGGATACTTAACCACTGAGAGGTTCATTATATGATTGACTCCTGTGTCATGATTATTCGTCAGGAGACACCGTGTTCTTTCTTGACCAATAACCATATTCTTTCACGACGAATAACCGTGTTTTTTCCTCCTGAATAACCGTGTTATTTCCTGACGAATAACCGTGTTATTTCCTGACGAATAACCGTGTTATTTCCTGACGAAAAACCGTGTTATTTCCTGACGAAAAACCGTGTTAATATCCTGACGCATGACCACCACCATAAGAAGTTATCACATCCACTGGCGGATATCATAATATTTATACTTCAAGTGAAACAAAAACTACGGCGAGAAGTGTAGAAGGTTTACAATAGACTGAAGGTGTATTAAGCAACGTGTTTCCAACGCTACTAGTCACAATATATTGTTTAAAAGTTTCTCCCGTGATCTTAATCTCTGACATTTACAAACTTAACTGCAAACAAATGATGGTTTTACAAAAATTAATGAGGTGAAGTAATGTTAATTTTCGTAATTCACTCGGATGAGGTACGAGTCTTACATTTAGCTGACAGCATGAACTATTATTATTATTATTATTATTATTATTATTATTATTATTATTATTATTAACACACCGGTCGTCTTCCATTAAGGCTTTCATAAAGTTTCTCTTCTTTTTACATTTAGCATTTTTTACAGGAGAAGGGGGTTACTAGCCTCTTGCTCCTGGCATTTTAGTTGGCTCATACGACACGCATAGATTACGGAGGAAGGATTCTTCTCCATTTCCCCGTGGATTATATTATTATTATTATTATTAGTATTATTACTTTCATACGGCAGCGCTAAGCACCTGAAATATGTGAGGTAATCAGGTTCGATTCCTAGGGGCAACTCTGTGTTCACTATATGACAATTACACCATGATGAATTAACGCAAAACAAACACTAAGCATTAATGTAAAAGTTACATGCAGAATTCATATCGTGTTTTCTGGAGACCGAGTCACGGTTCCTCGCTCTTCCTTGTAGCCTACGATTCTTGTATTAATTTACTGAACCTCTAAATATGTATATGCATATTAGTATGTATTTTAGGTTCGGTTATCAGTGCTGATGTGTAGATATATTTTA